TTTAGTGCTAAAGGTGTAACAACTTAAGATCTACCACAACTCTTTAAAACATCAAAAGTGTGTATCCAATTAAACCCACCTGAAGGGAATGACACGATACATTGATGGAGCTAAAGTGATACAGCTTGATTTCTGTATGAATTTTGATTGGGAAACAATGAGCGGACTATAATGAGACACAGTGTAAATCTAGTGTCTCAAACGTATTTTTTCATTTTTTATCTTTTGCTACTCCCAAACACTAACATTTTGAGTTCCTGCTATAAGGCCATTAATAATAGAAGATATTTCATATTATTTTTTAAATTTTTTTGTTCATGTGTATGTAACAATAAGTAACAATTCTTAAGTGTATCACCTTAGCCCCAATGTTTTGCTGTGTCATATTAAGCCCGACTTACCCCACATGCTTCAAATATGCCATATATGTCTCAAAAATGTCTCCAAAACGTGTAACAAGACACATTATGCAGGAGGTGATAACTTCCACGATCACCTCGCAGGGTTTTTCAATGCCGCAGTTAACCCTGCACCGCGCGTCAATACTCGTAACAATGTAACGGGCGCGGCGGTGTTTGGACTGGCAGTTGTGTTTTTTTTTAAGTTTTCAAACATGAGCAAGAATAATCCTTAATAATACCCTAAATTAAATTGAAAAAGTACTGAGGCTAACGCGAAACAAACCTAATATGGAAAAAGTAAATGTTACGCGGTAACACCGTTACTAGCTCTTTAGAGAATATCTAACAATTCTGCTTTTATTTCAGTAGCATTTACGTTCAGTATCACGCGGAGATTAAGCGCTGGTATACCTCTTATAGGGTTCAGCTCTGCATCCATTCGACGTTCTTATCAGTTCTTGCGAAAATAAGTGATCTGCCAAGGCGCTGATGAATGCGTCGCATCCTGGTGTAGACGTTTTCTCACATCCAAGCAGTCGTGCTACATTTCGACACTTTAATCTTTAGAATTATTTCCCAGGGATTTAGTTTTGTTTCTTCATTTTTTAATTTTTAATGTAATATTTTGGTAATTCTAAATAACACCAAACATGATAAAATCTATTTTTAATTACAAAAACAGAAAAATCAATACAAAAACTAACGTGGAACATTCAAAATACGTAGGAGAAATTTTTGTCAGGTAGCCAAAAATGTTTAATCTTCATCCTCGCAGCCAAGGTTAAACACACTAATCATACATAACTCTTCGTTGAGTATGTTTTCCGTACCCATTCCGGTGGCAGGTTTCAGAGGTAAAAAAAACCTTCCTCTCAAGCAAGGTAAGATATCCTCGGAATTTTTTAGAGGGCTTTGAGATATTCTACAATACACCTTCTTAGAATAATGAAAATCAAATCAAAGACAATATTAGTAATAATAATAACAATAATAATAAATTAAAGATACATAAAATGTATAAATATAAAATACATTTTATGAAATAAAAGACGAAATTTCGGATTATAGGAAATACTTACAATTTGTGCTATAGGGTTCATTTGACAAAGTTGGCGTGCGGCGAAGTTAAGACCGCGCCTGCAAGTCGTTTACTCTTCAGCGAAATTACAATACACTCCCGAGATATAAAAAACCTAAGCAACACCATCCGATGAGTGAATATCTTCAAGAATTCCTGGCCTCCCACTGACTCACTTCACTTTTGATAGATTTTGCACGCAAAAGTGCTCAGAGGGCGATCAAACACAGCCCACGGTACCCACGGTGCAGGGTTAAATCGCGGATATTGGATACGCACACACAAATCAAAAATTTCTTACAATATTGATCGACTTCCTGATAAGTAGCTCCAACAGGTTTGATGTGGAATAGAATTCCGTGACCACCTTCCCGACTTGGATTATTAAATTCTCAAAACCTTTGATGAACACAACGGCGTAATGAAGAAATGTGATATAAACTCAAGTGCGCCATGTTTGCGAAATCGAGCAGTTTGCTATGAGACCCAAAGACCGCTGCACTCACAAGTCGAACAGCGCACCGCAAGAAAATTCACAAAGCACAAGAAAGAGAAAAAGAAGTGCAAAGTTTGCGGGAAGCCAAGACATAGGGAATCTGATTACTGTTCACAAAATAAACTAATCGAATAGACTGAACAAACCAGATGATGCTCGATTGTTACTATATAGGGTAAGGAACTATCGAATTCACACGACAAAAACAACTAGCGGTGTATTGAGAACGGCTGCACTTCTCACTAATTGAGAAACTTCGATGAACATAGCAGTGAATTTTCTTGGCTGGCGGCGAGGCCACTGACAATAATAAGAAAAAAATAATGGGAATTTTCAGTGGTAAGGATTAGCTAGTAAATAAGTTATATTAATGCGAATAATGCAACACTCTACACACACTTCACCGAACAGAGCCCGCAGACCTGACGCTAACCATTCAGCACGAACTCGCAAACCCATATGGCCAAGAGGCCTTTGGCCAAAGGCCAAAGCCAAAAGGAAAGGCTTCTCAGTGCGATTGCGAAGAAACTAGTACATTGGTGAACGAACGTTGCCATAGTAAAGACAGGAGAGGACATACGGGCGGACGGGGTTGGGGCGGGGCATGGAATCAAATTTTTCAGGAGAAGGCTTGCCACGGCGAAAGTTTCCGAACAAAGTACAAGCGTTCACGAACGGCGGTGGATTCCTGACTTCGCCGCGAGTCTTCCGCGCGGAAGATCATGGATTCTCGGGGAAGTACAGGCGTTACTTCTTGCTCTTCTCACATCTCCCCCGCTTGAATGTGAAGTTCTCTGGGACTATAAATTCGGTAAAAATGACCGCAATGACCGCTATGACGTCAACGTAACATATTCTCGCCTCTCTACAAAATACTTTTAACCTGTTTGGAGAAATGGGAATGCATTAAAATGCAAATCAAACACTTTATACCCACATTTATTGACACAATTCAAGAATTAAGGTTTCGTATCTATAAAATAGGTATTCTATTCTTTAAGGAAGAGGAATCTTTCTCTTAATCTAATTTCTGGAACACCAAATTTCGTATGATTTCTCCGATCGCAGCAAATCTTGATTCTTTTTACATTACTGCATTATTGACTCACCTCACCAAAAACGGCACTGATGAACAAGCATCGGAAGAATGCGTAACACCTCAGCAATAGTGGACGTAGGGAATAGTCATTTCCCAGGATTTTAATTCGATTTCGTATGTTATTTTGAGAGTAAAACGGCCTTCGGTGACAGGACGTTGTTCCAACATTGCAAGAGGCATTGCAGGCACAAGCAGGCAAAATATCATCCAATTCAAGACCAAAGGTTACATGGGAGAACATAGATTCCAGGTCTTTGAACCAATCCTACCTGCATCTCGAAAATTGTGTACAACTACCATAAGCTACTTTTTCGAAGGATCGAGCAATCCTGAGGGACACCAATGGTAAACTGCCGACAGGATAAGCGATTTGCTCTACGTATGCGGGACCGAAGAAAATCTCAGAATCAGATAATTCAAAAAATGTCATGGAAAATGGCACCACGAGTAAATAACAAGAACTCGAAGGTCATGATCCAGGTGATGCGAAATAACGCCTTCAAGTTCGATGATGTTCGTTTAATCTTCCAACTTAATCAAGAGTGAAGCGTGTCTTACTGAACAGTTATCTAGCACACCACTTGTCAAAAGAAAAAGATCACCAACACATCTGCTAGAAGTGATTCTTAACTACGTCTGCAACTGTTGAGATCAGCGCTATGAATCATTTATAGACGGGTGCTGTCATCTATCCCAAACAGAACAAGTCAGAGATTACCTGTAAAATTTTGGAGTTCATGGCTGAAAACCACAAGAATAAACACGATGAATCAGACCACAGCCGCGAGAACCGTAGCGAGACTGACATGATCATTGGGGATGAAGGCTTTCAACAACGCCTAACTACACCTCAACAACTACAACGATTGCGATATACCAGGCAACGACTGAAAACATCAAGACTCATGCGAGTTACAATTAGGGTGTTAGAATCTATTTTTACTTACCTCGTACAGACTCTCGTACTACCGTCACTTGTTTCTGACAGTAACAGCGTCTCTACAGAGGCCGGGTATTTTTCTCTTCCTGTTGTACCATTCTTTCCGCTTGTAGTAATGTTCATCAGTGTGTAATCGTATTCCATCGATTTACTTATTTATTTTTATGTGCTATTTTATATTAGCACAGTGCGTTACCACATGAAGCGATATTTTAAAAAATCGTTAACTTTGCCCATCAAAATAATATCAGCTGTTTTCATCAATGTTTTATGTTATATACCTTACGAGGTCAACTCACGAAATATACTCATTGGATCTTATTTGATTACATTTCACTAGTAAAAAGAATTACATAATTAAATTTTCGCATTGTATTATGTTGGCATATACAAATTACTAATAAATGATTTTAACTAAAACTGACTTGTAGGTACAGATATCTACCTGCATTTCTTAGAACATTATTTCATGATTAATGAGTTCCAGCAAACACTAATAGAATAGAATCATTCCAGCGCGAAACACGAGAGAAAGAAGTAAGAAGCAAATATGTTATTGGATTATCCGATGGTATTTCGTTTTGTTTTCAAAATGTGAATAATACATTTTTTAGTGTAGATACTGCTTTTTAATCACAATATACTTGGAAAGTGGATACTGACATTACGTTTTACGCTCAAAGAAAGATTAAAAGGTAATTGATTATTAGTGTTCTTGGTTTTTATAGGTTCACAGTAGAAGTTAATGAGTGTAAAATTGAATGTATAAGTTCTTCTTATTAATATGTTTGTTTAATTCGCCACTGTTTATTGACTTTTTACGCGTAACTTACCTTGCAAGCAATTGGTACTTAAGAGCCATCTTGTCCGTTGTATATCAGTTGTTTTATTAATGAACCACAATAAATTAATTTTATTCACGAACACAGATCTACTTTCAAATGAATTATTATTCTGCGAAAAATCAAATAAAGATAAAATCTTACCTCTGCATAATGTTCTTCATTTTGTTGCAGCAAGTCAACACAAAGCTCAGCCAAGTGGATAAGATCTTCAAGTTTCTTACTTGGGGCCACCATAACTTCCCCACTGAGGTCATCTGAATCATACGTTAGGTACTTGTAAAAGGAATCATTACAAATTTTAAAATGTAAAACAATATGATGATTTTATGTAAGCACATTTTCTTTACTGAATAAAAATAGACATTCGTCTAACTACTTGGAACTCCTGAACAAAGTGAGATGAATGAAGTTGCATTAGGATTTGTATTCTATCTTCATTGGGCTCTTTCAAAGTAATACAAATGAGAAATCTTTTGTAATTCTAATTTTCACATCAGGACACGTCTCGATTTATAAATCTAGAATAATAAATAAAATGTGCAAAGACGATGCAATAACAATGGTAACATTTGATAGTTTACTCAGCACTGTGAGTTAACAACTCTCGCAGCCCAACTAGAGCAGAGCAGTTATTCAAAGTAGGCAAGGGAAGACAAACTACCGCTCCAATCTACCTCACTTTCTTAGCAATTTTTTTAACTGTCCTATCAACCACGTCCCGTCTATTACAATGTAATTCCTAGTTGATCTCGAGCATGGTAGAGTGCTGGGTAAAGAATGTGTTTACAAGTTCTTGAAAGAAAAATTGTTTTCTGCATTATGACTGATGTTTTTTCTAAGCATTTTAGAGCGGTGCTTTTGACGCGCTTAAGTCTGAACACCTGTGAAACACTCGCAACATCTTTTATTATGGCTTTTTATGTTTCATCTTTACCTGAGAAGTTTGTATTTAATGTGCCCTTGGAGACGACGTAGATAACGTTTTAAGAATTTTTGACATCAAATCGATGACTGCTTTTAACCCACCATTGATCGAAGGATGAGTTCACTTTCAAATTTCGATAGTCATTCTCGACGTTCAAGTATTATGATTGTCATTCTTTCTAGCTGGTATTTGAAATACTAACAATAAAAAAGCCATTTCTTTGTTTTTCAGCTTGAAACATTCAGAGTGAGATAGTGTCGGGTCAGAAGGCGGAAGAAAGTGCAGAGCGCTCATCCGGGACCTACGACCTCTACATTTTTTTGTTACAAAATACTATAATTCAACTATTTATAAAATAAATATTTGATAACTGTGCTTGTGAACATCAGTTCTCGGTTATTAAGGTGCAATACAACAATGAATTGGGTCAGGTTAGCAGAAATCGTAAAAGACAAAAAGAGAGGTTTAGAACATTGTACTATTGCTTACCAAGAATCGTTGTTAAAAAGTGTATAATTATTTTGTTTATTATAAAATGTTTTGGATATACACATCATTTTATGGAAATCCTGAAGATAGCAGTCTCGACGGTTTGGACATTTGGACGGCAATCGCACATGCTTACTAAAACATCAGTTATCGTATGTTGGCTAAATCATTTCACACTTCACTTTTAAAATCCATGAGGTTCGTACTGGTACACGACAAGCAAAAATGGCGTCCATTCTCGGAAGTGAAATAAAGTCGACTCCGGTTATAGTGAGCCCTCGGTTATAGTGAATTTAAGTCACTGGTCCCGTTTCACTTAAATTTTAAAAAAAAGATGAAGATTGGGGTTATAGTGAAACTGAACCTCGGCTATAGTGGACGTAGAAAATAAGTCCTTTTCCAGGATATTAATTGGATGTCGTATGTCATTATGCGAGTAAAAGGGCCTTCGGTGACAGGTTGTTCCAGCATTGCAAAATACATTGAAGGGTGTCAGAACTGCATTACGATACTTAGAAACAAAGGACAATGCAGAATCAAGTATGGAGAAAGCACGAACTCTGGAGGAGATTCTAGAGAAATGACTAATGAAAAATGCACGTAGCAAAGAATTTAAAATAATTATTTTTAAGGACAAATAAAGATATTGAAATGATCAGTTCGTGCAATTAATTAATTTTGTCATATATCCGTGTTAATAAAATCTATCATTGTGGAGAAATTCTATTTAAGTTAGACTTCATCGGATGCAGTGAACCTCTGATATAGTGAACCAAACACGTTAGTTCCCAGTAGTTCATTATTACTGGAGTCGACTGTCAATCCATTAGAGTTTTATACTGCTTTTTACCGTTTTAATCTTATTCGATCCTTTCTGTGTTTTTTTTACTAAAACTAGTAGATGGACGGACTTTTATTTCGCACTGATGGAAAAAGCAGTTTCGAGAATATAACCATAGTTTTCCTTATTTTACAACGAAAATGGAAAATACCGAATAAGTCCCAGGGTCAATATTCTCGACGATCAGACACTTTGATATCACTACTAGTTAACATTAAATTGTTTATCATATGACCTGAAGTAGATTTTCCTTATTTACTCAACCTCTGAATTTTTCGTTTAAACATTTTTCACACACACAACACCACACACGCGCATGCGCGGCGCACGCGCACCGCGCACGCGCGCGCAACGCGCACAAGCGCACAGGCGCATGCGCACGCGCACGCGCATGCGCACGGCGCACGCGCACGGCGACGCGCACGCCGCACGCGCCGCGCAGCGCACGCGCCAGCGCACGGAGCGCGACCGCGCAGCGACCGCGCCGCGCAAGCGCACGCGCAACGCGGCACCTGCGCCCGCACGCGCACGGCACGCGGCGACGGCCCACACTCCTCTCCCGCCAAGCGCAACGCGCGCGCAAGCGCGCGCCACGCGCACGCGCACGCAGCAAGCGCACGCGACGGACACCGCAGCGCAGCGCCGGCGCACGCGCCAGCGCACGGACAGCGCCACTCGCGAAAAGCGCACGCGCACGCGCAACCGCGCACGCACGCGCACGCGCACCCGCCGCAGCGCACAAGCGCACGCGCAGGCGCCGCGCATCGGGCACGCGGCAGCGCCGCGCCCCGCGCAGCGCACAGCGACGCGCACGCGCACGCGACGCGCACGCGCACGCGCCGCGCGACGCGCAAGCGCACCAGCGACACCACACGCACGCACACGCACACGCACACGCACACGCACGCAACGCACACGCACGCCACACGACCGCAAGCACGGCAACGCACACGCAAACGCACACGCACACGCAACGCACGCACGACACGCAACCGCAAGACGCAACGCACACGCAAGCACACGCACAGCCACGCAACCAGCACGCAACGCACACGCACGACACGCACACGCACAAGCCACCAACACACGCACACAACACCACAACACGACACACACATCTTAAACACAACACACACACACATATTATACTACTTATACCTACTATAAATACTTCATAATATAATATAATATGTGTGTGTAGAGAGAGATTCATCTGTATATGTAATAGGGTAAGATAATTTCATATCGCTAACAGTGTAATAGAACAGTAGAAATAATAGAATAATTTAAGAGGTTACATACTAATCATATAAACAGTTTTCCTACTTCAATTGGCAGCTGTTTCAAAACGAATGATTTCTTCTTCAGAAGATAAATTTCTATACAAACATACCTCAAACTTTTGGTTTCAACTTGTAGAAGGCAAAATGGTTGTAGTGGTGTTTCTAGAATCCCTTCATGATGAAACTCTACTAAAGCACACAAATTTATCTTAACAAACTACTGTACCCTAATACTCCACACCGTGCTGTCTCTAGCAATTATAAACATATTTGTCTTCCCTACTCATTCAAATATAATTAAAATTTTCATTTTAATGCCCATACAGTGGTGGAGATTATATTGCCCGGTACAGCCTTGAAAGCTACCTCTCGATTTTGAGACCGTACTTCTCAGTTCTATCGATTGTCTTTTTTTTTATAAATCGTTTATTCATTATCAGAGGATCGAAGAACCTTAGGGCTTACAGATAATTGATGTCTTACTCTAAGTTTAAAAAGTAAATAGTGGGGAAATTCATTGAGCACCACCAGAGAATCACTGGGATATGGTATGAATTGCTGAGATCACAGGTTGTCTACTCAAGAACTGCGCGGACGCGGCGCTTCGGGCTCCTGGGTTTCGGGGCTTCGATTTTGCGGAAACTAACTGGACGTCAGCCCTGCTCTGTCACGCGTTCAACAAACCGTACATCAGAAGCTAAAAATAATCTCCGCCATGGAATTTAATTTATTTTTTCTGCCAATAATACATTCCAAAACGTTTATGAGGAATACACTATTACATTTGGATTGTAATAAAGTTTTTATCACTTGATTCACTTCGGATATCCCTTAGTGACCGATATAGATAGAATTTTTTCCTCACATCCTGATTTTAGGCAGAAAGGTAGAACCATAGAAACAGGGGTTACGAAAAATACATTTAGGGACCCTGGTTAAAATTTAAGCATAAACATAATCGAGTATCACTGACAACGGAATCAATGAATTTTAGAGTAAACACTAGTTCAATAGACTTAGAAAAGAAGGGCATCGGACATGTAATTAGCCTATACTTAACGCATTAATAACAAATGAAGTCAAAAGAAGCACGTTGAAACAAATCAACCAAATAAGTTACAAAAGCTAACAGAAATATTGTATTATTAAAGCTTTTGTTCGTCGTTGACAGAGAGACGCCATGTCTTTTCCAAGTTGGAATGTCAAATGAACTGCAGAACGCCCCATCATGATGGAGAGATATAGGTGAGTTACTCCGGCGTACCCATTTTTGCTCGTCCTGCGCACAACCAGTTGGCGTCACGAACCACGCGACGACACGGGCACTTCGTTTGAAAAGCCGGTCCAGTCGCTGGCCGCCATGTTGCATGGAGAACGAGAAGTGTTGAGAAACAATTTGAAAGTGACATAAAGCGACAATTTTCAACGGTGATCAACCATCAATAGCACGATGAAGATGTCCAAGAACCAATATTTAAAAGAAATGATTCATATGTCCGTTTCAATAACTTGTAACAAGGTGATAATTTTGCTATCTGGACGCATTTAAATTCCCGCTAGTATTGTGACGCAAACGGGTGCCGGAAGCTCATTTGCGCACGTTGGATACGATGCGAAATAGCGCACCCACCTCTTTCCACCATGGGCCCCGCGTATCAGTGTCAAAACGATGGCCTCTTCAGAAGCCCCTTTGTCGCGACGCGGCGTCTCCCCGAC